ACCTACACATGTGTTACCACAACTTCGCTCTGTTCTGCCTCTACCGTTATACATACACATACATCTGTTCGTATACTTTACTCCTGTAACATTGAAAGTGGGTCAGGTTCGTCTTTTAGGGGAAACTTTATCACACTCTATCCCAGGTATCTACTGTCCATATTCAAAAAGATATTCTTCAAGGAAAAGTTGACGGACAGAAGATTTCATGCCAGGCCAGCTTATAAATATTATATAGATCCATACCGGTCTGTATTGGTATTGTTAGATGCTAAATGCATTGTTAGAAAGTATGTCTTTCAAGCTTTCAAGCTAATCATCAAAACATTCATAGATACCTTTTCCTTTGATAATTACTCGATGCCGTTGCACTTGACGATTGCAGACTTTCTTTGAAAATACGATGTTCATCATCATCTGCTGTAAATAAAACAACACTCATTGTACTTGCGTGGTTGCATATAGTAACTATTCATATATCAAAATAAACACTTATCAACTTACTGACATAATGTATGATGTGCTATCAGCAAAATGTAATATCACAACAAGACTGAAATTAAATCGAAAGGGGAGATTATCTTTATATTCCACTGATCCAGCAATTTTGCAGCTATCAAACTTAATTTTGGCATGGCTTGTGTTTGCTGTTGTGACATTCATAGCAGCCAGATCACCTGGGAAAATATGATAACCCTGTATATTAACTAGTCAAGTCATTTATTCAGAATTCATAAAGTTCAACAAATTATTTTCGATCCAAATGGACCTGCATTGCTCACCTGCTATTAATGTCACACCTGTGGCCTTGGATGTTGGAAAAGGTCATTCAGTTGAACAAAACCTCAAGCACTTAATCCTAGCAAGCTACTGGTAAAATATCCTGTGACTTTTGGTTAGTTATCGAGAAGTCATTTTAAGATTTTTACACATTTGACCCCTGTGACCTTCATGTAGAAAGCGGGTCAAGGCATTTTTTTCTAAACAAACTTGATATCCCTTGTCCTACACCAACAATGTTAGAGGTTTTACACGGCGAAAAACTTTTGACAGGCGCCGCGTAACCTCTAACTGCCCATAGTTGATTTTCCCGATGCTGATCCAATCACATTTTCAAAGTTCGGATTAAGAAAGAGTATATCGTGTTTACATACATTTAAATGGTCAAAACGGTCCAATAAATATTCCTTTCCATAAATCCATGATTATATGAGAAAAATTTCATGTCAAAGACATAAATAATGAGTTTTTCCTCATTCGAAGCGAAGCAGACAGCATTTGCCACGATTTTTCCGGTTAATACAAAAATGGATTACATGTAATGTTTCACAAGCGGAATACAAACAAACTCCGTATCATTTCGTTCCGTTTGAAATCCCCCTGATATTTTTTATTAATCCAGAAGTCATGTTTTAAATATAGGTCAGAGATGTGCTACAACGACATGGACATGTATTTTGAGTGTTCTATTCCGTAATATACTATATATTTGTGTCTGTAACATATATATGATATCTATATTATATAAACCGTGAGTAGACATCGTTGTCATGAACTGTTAACCACTTATGTGAGTTTTTCAAGCCGATTTTGTTCCGCCCGGATTTCGGGCGGAAACTGCATCAAAGAATTAGTGCTTCGGAAATGAGAGGGCGCAGTCGGCAAAATCATATCCGATTGAAAAAAGGCCGACCAGCGGCCTCTCATGTTATGGGAGTATCCCTTGTCCCAGCATGCTACTGGCCAAAAATCATCACCATAGGTTTTTTTAGTACATTTGACTAATATTACCTTAATTGGTGTAGGCTGTTCATTTGAACAAAAGTGATAGCCTTTCATGCTAGCATGTAACTGGAAAACATTATCATTCTGGGACATTTGATTATTCAGAAGACTTGGCCTCTATTCAAAAGAAGTATATAGAAAGATTTTAACATATTTGCCCTTTTTTATCTTGGCAGGAGGTCAAAATCATTCGTTATTAATTCAACAAACCTTATTTCCTTTTGACCTTTCGGTTCTTAAGATCAAGTTGCTTCAAATGTTTGACATATTTGACCCATGTGACATTGAAGATACGTCAAGGTAATTCATTTGAACAAAGTTAATAGCCCTTCATTCCAGCATGTGAACGACAAATTATCATCACCTTGATCCTTTTTGTAATCCAGAAATAGTGTTTAAGGTTTGAATAAGCCAATTGACCATTGTGATGCCATCAGGTCATTCAATTGAACAAACTTGGGCCATTTGTTGATTAAATATTTTAACACAAGAGGCCCAGAAGGGCCTGTATCGCTCACCTGTTTGTTTTGTTACATATAGTTGTTGGCCAACTATTGTAAATATAGGTTAATTGGATATTCAGAACCGTTGACGGTTTACAGTTATTCAACCCCTGTGACCTTGACAGTAGGTCAAGGTCATTTTCATTCGCAAACTTTGTTGTGCGCAAACATAGAATGGTACTGGCCAAATATCATAACTCTAGGCCTTTCGGATCTTCAGAAGTCGTTCGAAGGTGTAGGTATAAACAACATATTTAGTACATGTATTACTCCAGAGACCATTTATTACTATGTGTACTAGACAACTTGGAAAGGATTTTGTCATATCAAAATAAAGATTTTAGAATGAATTTCATCAAAATGTAGTATATGAGTTGACCTGCAGAGACAGTAGACTAATTATATTTTAAGTAGTGCAGTGTACCAAACCACAGTGTGATAACTCCAACTATTGTAATGTAATAACTCATATTCATGCACATAGAGAAAATAATCATAGAACAGTGTATTGTAGTTTTGCTTGTTACTGTTTTCAAATTTCAGATATCAGATGCCACAAGGGTTTGTTCTGCACACTTTCTAGACAGTGAGATAAGAAAGACATTGACAGGCAAAAGGTTTCTTCGACCTGGAAGCGACCAAGTGTATTTCCCTTGAAATCTCAAGTAAAACAAAAGGCGTCCAACACTTAAGTACAACCTTAACTTTTATCCCCAAACTTTTGGGCTCCATCTAAGGAAGCCACATGTAAAATATCATGTCATTTACAGGTTTTGACATATTTATTCCTTGTAATGCAAACTTTGCCAGGCTCCATCCTAGGCGGCTGCAAGCCAAATTTTATGATTCTATGCATTTTGGTTCTTAAGAAGAAACCATTTGAAGTGCTGAACATACTTGAATCATGTGACCTTGAAAGTAGGCCAAGGTCATTTTAATTCTCCAACTGTGTTGGCCTTCATCCTAGAAAGCTACCAGACAGATATTATGCTTCTATGCATTTCAATTATTCAGAAGAAGCCGTTTGTAGTGTACAGGTTCGACATATGATCCCTGTGACCTTGAAAGTAGATGAATGTCATTTTCATTCTCAACCTTTGTCTAGATCAATCCTAATAAGCTACCAGGCAAATATCAAGATTTTATGCGTTTCGGTTCTTCAGAAGAAGCCGTTTGAAGTATTTGACTTATTTGACCCCTGTGACCTTGAAAGTAGGTCAAGGTCATTTTCACTCACTAACTCTGTCAGGCTCCTTCCCAAGAAGCTACGCGACTGATATTAAGATTTTATTCCTTTCAATTCTTCAGAAGAAGTTGTTTGAAATTTTTGACATATTTGACCCCTGCGACCACTCCATCCTTCAGAAAACGTCTAAGGTAAAAGTTGGCAGATGCTGGACAGACAAACGATAGACGCCATGCCATGGCATAAGCTCGCTAGCCCTTTGGGCAGTTTAACTAAAATGTTGACACTGAACGGGCCAGGTGAAATTTTAACAGTAACTTTGTTTTGACCCTCTAAAGAACTATTAATTTGTATGAGTTAAAGTTTATGACAATATATTGGATAAGAAAAGAAATATATAGAGCAATGACACCAAACTCATGTGTTCGGGTGTCGCAGTGGATAGCACGTCTATGTTTCACCTAGATGGCCGGGGTTCAACATCCTGATCGGACATGGAAAGGGAAGGAGATATATAAGTTGATACAACTTGTTTCATAATTGTTACATAAATAAGGTTTTTATCATCAAAATTCTATTTATGATAAGGTTTGTCTAAAGTTCTGACAGCAGAAAAAGCTGAGACATGGAGTCAGAAAACAAATGCATTCTGTAAAGCGATAACATGAAATTCTGAAATTCTGTTTATAGTAACGCATGACATTTTTGTTTTTACTCAATATGGCTGAAACACACACTCAAACATGAGACGATGTTTCATGATAATAAGACAAAAACACTAGAACTGTTGCTTATGGGCCCTGTATGAGCTTAATTAACAAGTGAAAAAAATATAGAAAGATCAAGGCTTATGGAAACGTCTAACGTCAGATGTCGTACCAACAGACCGATGGAAAAGAAACACACTGCTTCTGTGACCTTTGACCCGATGAACACGTATTTGTCTCAATGTAGCTTTCATAATTGGCTACGATACTCTGATGTATATGTGTATACAAAATATCTATCACTTCTGAAATAATTAGCCATTTCAGTAATGTAATTCATTTGTGATCATTGACCTTTAACCCCACGATCTCAGAAGTTTGTCAGTAGAGTAGCTTGCATTAATGTCTGTCACAAGATATCAGAAATGAGACAATATAATATCTGTCACAAGATATCAGAAATAAGACAACATATATGTCACAAGATATCAGAAATGAGACAATATATGTCACAAGATATCAGAAATGAGAAATGTTTGTCAGAAGATAAATTTCAATCAGCTACAGTAAAACCCACTTACTTACAAGTGGCTAATTATATAATGGGCTTTCCAGTCACATTTGGTGTGATAGTCTGAGACTAGTCAAATCTTTTGATAGACTAATAGTTCTAGAAACTACTAGCCTGGTTAACTAGTCACAATGTGATATTACTTCATCAGTTGAATAATATCGGGTTGGTGAAATTATCACATGGACCGCCAAAATTGTCCAATTGACTAGTGGTTTTTAAAATCAGTTTCTAGCCCCGTATTAACTTCACACTTGTAACCTTAAAGGTTGACAACGGTCAAATATATTTATATGGACTTATACTAATAAGACTAAGGCTCAATATCATTAAATAAAACCTTGATCATTCAAAAAGAACCTGTTAAAATATTGAATGTCTAACAAGGTTCCATTCACTAAAACAAACTTTGTAGCCTTTCATACCAGCATGCTACTGTCCATAATCAGATGAGGGAAAGGTAGGTTATTTTTATTTCGCGGGTAAAGAAAAGTGCGCCAACTTTATATTTACCTGGGCACGCACAGAGTTGTTTTGACAGGTGTAATGGCGTGACCCATTGTTTTCATTTCTGCTTCTGTTATTGTGAAGTATTCGGGAGTTAGCGTGAAATACAGCTCACGGTAAGTTATATTTTAATCATCGATAGATCTGTGTGTATCTCGTGA